CCTGCCCGGCCGCCGCGCCCCCCCCGCGCCGCCGCCGGGCCCTGCGGCCCCCCGGGACGGACCCGCCTCCGGCCCCCCCTTCCCGTGTCACCGCCCGGTCCCCATGGCGACGGGGCGCCCGCGGCCCCCCGGGTGTCCCCTCGCCGTGCCCATGGTAACGGGGCTCGGCCGGCCCGTGTCACCCCGCGCCCCCCCCCCTCCCGTGTCACCTCCCGGCCCCGCGCTGTCACCTCCCCCCACCCCCCCCGCCGCGGCGGGTCCTGCCCGTCCCGTGGGACCGGCACGGGGCCGGTATAAGCGGCTTAGCGGGGACACGGGGACGTCCCCGCCGCCCCGGGGAGCGCTGGGCCCTGCAGCGCCCCCCCCCCGCGGGGTCCGCATGGCCCCGGGGATGTCCCCATCGCCCCGGGCGGCCCCTGTCACACCGGACGGGAGGGGCTCTATCACACCGGGAGGTTCCCTATCCCCCGGGGGGATCCCCCGCCCTGACCCCTCGCCCTTGTGTCCGCAGGCGCCGGAGCCGGTGCGGCCGCCGCGCTGCCCCTCGCCCCTCCGGCCAGCGGCCGGCCCCGAGCGCACCTCGGAGCGGGAGACGCAGACGGCAGAGCTGTCCCTGACCGTGGTGGCGGCCGTGCAGGCGGTGGAGCGGAAGGTGGATTCCCACTCCACCCGCCTGCTCGACCTGGAGGGTCGGACGGGGATGGCGGAGAAGAAGCTGATCGACTGTGAGAAGACGGCGGCGGAGCTGGGGAACCAGCTGGAGAGCAAGTGCGCGGCGCTGGGCACCCTCATCCAGGAGTACGGGCTGCTCCAGCGGCGCCTGGAGAACATGGAGAACCTCCTGAAGAATAGGAACTTCTGGATCCTACGGCTGCCCCCAGGCAGGAAGGGGGAAGTCCCCAAGGTAACGGTGTCCAGGGGTGCAGGAGCCGGGCACTGCACCCAAAATGCTCCCGGAGGGCAGGACTGGGGTGGGTGAGCAGGGACAGCCCCTGCACAGGTGAGTCTCTCTCTCCACTGCAGCTGCTCATTGCAGCTTCTCAGCTCATCCCCTGCTGGGACTAAAATATGGTAGGACAGAGGCCTGGGAGGACATCCTGGTACTCAGGCCAGAGGTTTCAGTTCTGCTCCACTGCGCTGCACAGCCCCGGGGGCATTGACTCTTTTTTTGTTCGTTTTTTTTGCCACCATTTGAAAAAGCCCTGCAGATTTTGTGATTCTTTTGTTTTGACCACCTTGACGCTGCAGAGTCTCCCAGGCTGGGGAAGGAGCAAGTGGGAGCTGCTGCTGCAGGGATGGGGAAGCTTTGGGATTCAGGAAGGCAGATGAGCTCCATGGGCTTAGCCGAGCTCTGGATAGAGCCCACCATCAATATTCAGCTCCTACTTGAATTTCACAACCTTCCTGCTAAAAGAGTGTGTGCGAACGAGACTGTGTAAGACATGGGAAAGGGAGCATCTCTGGAGACAGCAGAGAGGATCAGGAGAAGGTGGGTTCAGACCTGACACCCCATTAGTGTGGTTGGGGGACAGAACTGGAGTGCCGCGTTGCCTCTGAAGACCTCTGCTCCAACACGACACGATTTGCACATCCTCAGTTTATCCTTAGGAATTATTCCTTGGCTAACAAGCTGGGAAGCTGCAGATGGCGAGCACACAGTAGCCAGGGATAATGGGGAGCCCTGTGGGCCTGGGTAGAGTTTTCCCTGGACTTCTGGGGTAATTGAATCCGGGAGTTACGTCAGCTCATCAATAGGGATGAGTCCAGCCCAGCTCCTCGGTTTTGTCTCCTTTACGGTCTCCCAAGCCTGATCACCCTGCAGAGAGCAGGGACTCAGAGGAGGAGCTTGGGGTCCTTTGGGGAAATCCCAGTCTAGATTCATCACTAAGAACCATCCATTTGGTTAAGTCCTTCATTCCCAAAGAAATAGCTGCTCAGGAGTTGTTTTAAATGTAAAAATGTAATGTTTTAAATGTAAAAAGCAGCTCATTGATGGCGTGGAAGGAGCTGAAGCCTGGCTGTGTGCAGGCTCCTGCTTGAACCCACTGTTGGAATTGCAGGTGCCGGTGACCTTTGATGACGTGTCCGTCTATTTCAATGACAAGGAATGGGAGAAGCTGGAGGAGTGGCAGAAGGAGCTGTACAAGAATGTGATGAAGGGGAACTACGAGTCTCTGATCTCCCTGGGTAAATACGGGGGGTCCTTGCCCTGCCGAAGGACAGGAGGCTCCTTCTGGCTCCTCCTTGGAGATCCCCCTCTGATGAGACCCAAATGTCCCAAACACAGGAGGATGTTTTTAGTCTGGGTTTATTCCAGCTCATGCTGTGGTGGTGTTCTGCCTGGGTGAGGGATGCCCTGTGGGCAGGTGGGCTGGAGACCTCCCAAACCTCTTCCAGCCACAGTTATGCCATCAAAAACCAGCTCCTTCCCCATGGCTGTTGGGAGGCCTGCCCTGCATCTTCAGGGTCTGCAGTGGGTACCAGCCCACGCACCCTTTTAGAGGCTTTTGCACGTGTGGATGTTCCTGAGCATCCTGGGAAGAGGTGGAAGGCAATGTTGGATTCCCAGTGCAGTAACCCCTCTCTCCCACCCCTCTGTCTCTCAACAGACTATGCAATTTCCAAACCTGGTGTTTTGTCTCAGATCGAGCAAGGGGAGGAATCACGGGGCAGGAATGAGCAGGACCTGGAGGAGAGTGAGATCATTACTGATGCCACGGCAGGTGAGGGGGCACCTTGGCACCAGGGCAGCCCTGGGTTGTGTTCCCAGGAGCTGCTCATCCCAAGGCTGAAGCAGATGTTGCTGGGAGCTGTGGCTGGTGTGGTTGATCATGTGAAGCCTTGCCTAGGATAAATTTGGCTGGTTGGAGGTTTGATGTCCAGGTACAGCTCAACATAGAAACCAGGACAAGCAGAGCCTGGAGAGTTGGGTACTGGGAGCCCTTCCCAGCAAGGGAAGCATCTGCAACCAGACCAGGTCCTCAGGGAACCGGTGTGCCCGGCAAGGAAGGAGAATCGGGTCCCATTGGGAGAGCCCATCCACCCAGAAAATCCTTTGCACCCTCTCTTTGTGTGGATGGTGCCTGGGTTTGGAGCATCCTCCTGGGAAGGGAAGCCTGGTCCCATGCTGTGTGCAGGGAGATGGGATGCTGAGGGGCAAGACTGGGCTGGGAATGGGGTACCAGTGACCCCGAGTCCCAGAGCAACTCCTGTGCTGTGATAAGGGGCTGATAAGGAGATAAGGAGGTGGCCTGAAAGAGATGGTGTCACCTCCACTCATCATTCCTGATTCCAGGCTGTGGATGTGGGGTCACACCAACACCCTGCTTGTGCTTTCCATCACAAGGATCTCAAAATTAAATTGAGGCCCATGGGAAGAGGAAAATCACGGGCCCACGTGGAGCTGCAGCTGGGGGATGTGGGGCGGCTGAGCAGTGCTCTGCTGTGGCACCCAAGCTGGGTGGAGTGAGTTCCCTGTGCCTGCAGAGCATCCTGGGCTGGAGCTGGGAGCGTGGCAGGGATGAGTGAAGGGCAGGGGCTGGAGGGAGAGCAGAAGAGGCCGAGCAGATGAAACGCTCAGCGGGATCAGCAGCTGGAGCCAGCAGGGATTGCTGGGAGCAGGTCCTTTGTCCTGGCTCCTGGGAGTGATGGTGAGTGGGAATCTCTCATTTTTGCAGCTGGAATAAGGGTTGTGATCAAAACAGAGGAGCTCCTTCCTGAAGACAGCCCTGAGAACCCCGAGCTGCACGGGATGTCGGGGCAGTCCGAGGGCAGCTTCCAGAGCCCGGATGAGGAGGCAGCTTGTGAGAGCCCCTATGGCTCCGTGTCCCCACCCAGGGACCTCCCAGGCACCAGCCTGGGGGACTCATCTGAGTACGGAGCCGACTTCAACGAGATCCAGAGGGTCATTGTTCACCACGGGAGCTGCACAGGTGAGATGCTGGGGACACGGCTCTGCACACGTGACAGGAGGTCTGGGGGGCTGTGGTGGGTTAGGAAAAGGTGGGGAAGGGGTTGGAAGTAAATCCCCCCAGAACCAGCACCAGAAGGAAAGTTTCTGGCTGCAGCAACTTCCAAGAGTGGCTCTGGTCAGCCCTTGAGCTTGGAGGAGGAGGCAGCACATCCATGGTGGACACAGAACGTGGTCTCTGAAGGCTCCTGTCCAGCTAAGGAGCAGAGCAAGCACTGGGCCAGCCTGGGAAAAGCCACGGAGAGCAAGGGAAGATGTGTCTCAGGCAGTGTTCTGTGAGAGCCCTGCTCCCAAAATCCGGCTGTGGCAGAGGGCAGGACGTTGGTGAGAGGTGTGGGGGAGAGGATGGTTACACACTGGACACTGCTGGGGCAATGTGGATGGTCCTGCAGGTTGCCAAGCGTGGGAATTGCTCGGGGCAGCTCCACAGGATAGGGAAGAATGTGGCTGGAGCTCTGTGGTTTGCGAGCTGCCAGGAGGGAAGGATGAGGTGATTTGTGGAGAGATGAGATGATGGTACCAAGTGTTTCATGTGTAGGATTCTGCCAGTGGAGTGGCAGATACAGGCCAAGTCCTACAGATGTGCTGTTAGGGTGGGGACGGGAGAGCAGGGAGAGGAGAGCTTGGGAACGGTGGGTTCCGTCCTCCTGACGGCTTTGTGGCGGTGTAACACAAACCAAGGCACAGAGAGTTGGGCTCTTGAGGGCCTCAACTCCGTCTTGTGGGTCCTGTGGTCTGCTCAAGGCTTTGTGAGGGAAACCAGCCAAGCCACCAGTGGGGCTGGAGCTGATCCTTGTCCGAGAGCTGCTGCCTCTGCAGGGTATGGGGCCTGGCTGGTGGGGCTGAGTGGGAGCTGTGGCCGTGCTGGTCAGGATGGGGGGCTGAGCTACAGGTCCACAGAGGGGGCAGGGAGAAGGAACTGGGTTTTCCCTTTCCTCAGAGGGAAGAGGGCCATGGCTTTGACACATCCACTCCCATCCATTTCCTTTTCTTGGGAATGCTCTTCCTGGGAGAACATTTAGGCCTGGCCCACAGTCCAGCATGGGGTGACATGAGGGATGCTCTGTGGGCCATTCCTGAGGCTGTGCTGGACACAGGTCCCTGGGATGGCTGCTCTCACCAAACAAAATCCCCAGCTCACTTTTGGCCTCGGTGACACGAAGGGGAGCCTGGCCTGCTGCCATCCATCCTGCTGCCATTCCATCCTGCTGCCATTCCATCCTGCTGCCATCCATCCTGCTGCCATCCATCCCACTGCCATCCATCCCACTGCCATCCATCCTGCTGCCATCCATCCCGCTGCCATCCATCCCACTGCCATCCATCCCACTGCTGGGTGCTCTGGGAAGGAGAGGGGTGGGTCTCTCTCCACGCCACATCGTGGCGATGCTGAGGGAAGGGGACAGTCCCCTGTGGGCTGTGCTGTCCCTGGAGCAGAGCTGGCAGCCCGGTGCCGTTTCTGCCGAGCGGTGCTGTGCCAGGAGCGGTGCCATAGCCCAGTGAAACAGTGGCACATGGAGCTGCTCTGAAATCACTCGGCCACCCAAGCCCTCGTGAACCCATGGCGCTTTTATCCCCCACATCCTGCAGCAGCACCAAGTTGGCAAACCTTTTGGCAGGCGGTCGGAGCACACCCTCCAGAGGAGCCTGACCAGGGGTGGTTTGTCTGAACTCCTTGTTCAGGGGGCACATGGCCCATCCCAGCGCTCCGGGCTCCAGCTGCAGCTGGCTCGTGTCGGGGTGCTCAGGCAGAGCAGGCAGGCACAAACAGCTATGGGAGCCCGTGCAGATGTTTCGTAGCAGCCAGGGGTGTAGGAGGCCGCCCCATCCAAAACCCTTACCCTAACACTGTTCAATTTTCCCCCTCAGAGGATGGCATCGTGATCAAGACGGAGGAGGAGGAGGAGGAGGAGGATGACCCCGACACGCTGGAGCCGTGTGCCATGTTCTCGGGCCGGAGCGAGCCGCCGGCGTTCCCCAGCCACGAGGCCGGGCTGGGCTGCGAGGCGCAGTGCAGCTCCAAGGCGCAGCCCCGCAGCCTGGCCGCCCGCGTCAGGAAACCGTCGGCCTGCGAGAGGGACTCCGGGGACATGAAGCCGGCCGGCGGCCAGCAGCGGAACCGGACGCGGGAGAGACCCTACATCTGCCCCGAGTGCGGGAAGAGCTTCATGCTCAAGATCAACTTCATGATCCACCAGCGCAACCACCTCAAGGAAGGGCCCTACGAGTGCCACGAGTGCGACCTCAGCTTCCGCAACAAGCAGCAGTTCCTGCTGCACCAGCGCAGCCACACGCGCCGCGGCGTGGGGGTCCCGCGGCGCCCCGAGCACGGCCTCAAGCCCCCGGCGCGGCCCCCGCCCCCGGGGAAGCCCTACAAGTGCTCCGAGTGTGAGAGCAGCTTCAGCCACAAGTCGAGCCTCAGCAAACACCAGATCACCCACGTCGGGGAGCGGCCCTTCACCTGCGGCGAGTGCCGGAGGAGCTTCCGCCTGCAGATCAGCCTGCTCATGCACCAGAGGATCCACGCCGGCAAGAACGAGATGGCCTTCCTGTGCCCCCAGTGCGGCAAGAACTTCACCCGGCCCTCCCACCTGCTGCGGCACCAGCGGACTCACACCGGCGAGCGGCCCTACCAGTGCAGCCAGTGCGAGAAGACCTTCAGCGAGAAGTCCAAGCTCACCAACCATTACCGCATCCACACGCGGGAGCGCCCGCACGCCTGCGCCGTCTGCGGGAAGGGTTTCATCCGCAAGCACCACCTCCTGGAGCACCAGCGCATCCACACGGGCGAGCGGCCCTACCACTGCACCGAGTGCGGCAAGAACTTCACGCAGAAGCATCACCTCCTGGAGCACCAGCGGGCGCACACCGGCGAGCGGCCCTACCCCTGCACCGAGTGCACCAAGTGCTTCCGCTACAAGCAGTCGCTCAAGTACCACCTGAGGACGCACATGGGAGAGTGAGGGGCTGCCGAGGCTTCCTCTCCCTCCCTCCCTACATCCCTCCCTTCCTACTCGTCCTCCTTCTCCTCCACTGATCTCTCCCACCCTCCCTCCATCCATCTCCCCCCACCCCGGCTCAGGGCATGGACATCAAGGAAGCTTTGTGTGGTAGCGCCGCTGGTCTGGTGGAGACTCGGCTGATTGGAAATAAATTAATGAATTAAAGCAAGCAACGCGCGGCAAAATTAAAAGATTATATATATATAAAATTAACAGAAGCAGCTGATTTAGGGGGAATCCTCACCAACAAGCAAACCACCGACAAAAGAAACCTGTACACAGGGTGTTTTGCCAGAGTAGGACTCGTAACTGCTTTTTAAATCTACTGTTTGGTTTTTTTTAATAAATGTGGAGGAACTTTTATTTGATAAGCAACCTTAGGATGGGCAAGATTTTATTTTTCGTTTTGTTTTTTTTGTTTGTTTGTTTGTTTCTTTTTGGTTTGGTTTTTTTGTTTGTTAACTGCTCTGTAGGCTGATTCTGGCACAGTCACTTTTTGTCCAGGAGCTCTGTGGAGGCGCTGCCCGTCCGGGCTGGATGCGACAGGAGGAGCTCCAGCCGGGGGGAGGTGAGTAATTAACAGATGCGGCTGATGAGGAAGTTCTGCGTGTGTCTAGATTGGAAACGCTGATAGGTGCCTGCCCGGCTCGCGGGGCTGTGATGCACTCCTGAATTATACAATAGAATAAAATTCTAGTTGCAGTAAAAGATCCTTTTTCTGGTAGGACCCCTCCGCAAGGCTCCTCCAAACACTCGTTCCTAGTTCAGTCCTGCCACCGGGGGCATTGGGGTGCTGTGGGTCTGCCCATGGGGTGCTGTGGGGTCTCCAGGAACAGAGCAAAGCCTTGTTGTGTTTACCTGCTCTGCTGTCCTTGAGCTGCTGCTGGTGGCATTGCTCACGTGCTCCTCAATGGCAGGAGAGGCAGAATTCCTGCCCAGGGGAGGAGCAGCTCCAGGATGGCTCCAAGGAAGGACCTCCCTGTCCCTGGGCACCTCCTGACAGGGTGGGTGGGACATGATCCATCTCCCTGCTGTTGGTCTGAGCCCTTGTTTGTACCAGCTCAGTTCCTGGTGATCCCAGCTGTCACCTGGCTGAGTGAGATCCATCCAAAGGGCTGGGCTGGGGCTGGGGTGGTGGCACCAGCTGGCGCTGGGGTGGTGGCACCAGCTGAGGCTCCAGTGGTGACACCAGCTGGGTTGGGGTGGTGGCACCAGCTCCTCAGAGCACACCAGGCTCCATCCCGGTGCTGTCAGATCTTGTGTTGGACAGTGGCATCAATAAAGAGCGATGATGGGAGAAGTTGTTGGGACCTGTTAATGGCTTTGCAGAACCAGTCCTCATCCAGGACTTTCCTGGTGTGTGAACCCCTCCTAAGTTGGGATTTATGGCCTCTTCTGTGCTAGGAAGTGCCAGAGTGCAGCGCAGCCACGTGGAGCTGCTGAGAGCCGTCAGCTGGTCACCGCTGTGGGTGGGAGCATTTTGGGGCTGCCAGGACAGGCTCCTGCCAAGGTTCCTGCCTTCCCACTGCTGGGGTTGTGCCTGCAACTCCCTGGAAGAAGTCTGAGGTTTCAAGTCAGGGTCTGACAGGAGTTGACACCTCCATCTCTGGAAGTTGGCCAGGTTGGACAAGGCTTTGAGCAACCTGAAATAGTGTTCCTGCCCTTCCAGGGAGGTGGAACAAGATGAGCTTTGAGGTCCCTTTCCACCCAAACCATTCTGGGATTTCATGAGAAGTGCTGTGGTGGGGCTGATGTCCTGGCAGGGAGGTGTGGGGGCAGGAGAGGAGGGCCTGGCTGCAGCCCTGTGTCCCTCAGCATCCCTGCATCCCCCTCACCAGGACTAAATACAGTTATGGAGAAGAAGGAAATGAAAAGCAGAACTGATTCTGCTACTCAGCGGCTCATGTCTGTCACACTGGCAGCGACACAGACCTGGCAGAATCCTTTTTTCTTCCTAAAAATGGATTAATTCAGCTTTTTATCAGCAAAAAAAAAGCTGAGGTGCCTGGCTGTCCCTCGCAGTGCCAGGACCTTGGTGTGGCCAGGCTGGCAATGCCCATGCTCTGCTCTGTGTCACTGGGCCCCACACAGCAACTCCTGCCCCTCGTGCTGCTCCTCGCCCACCACACACGGATCTAACAGCCTCAGTCGCTGGACACTGCCAGGATTTAACAACATCCTGGTGACCTTGAGCAGCTCAAATGTCACCGATCCGTCTGCAGAGACAGCTCCCGTGCCAGTGGGACATGGCCATCGTAGCCCTGAGTGCAGGTGGCAGTGACTCTGAAAACCACAGTGGTGGCAATTAAGAGCATTGTCCCATGGTGGGACATTGACTCGACAGCTCCTGTCCTGCAGCTTGGGCTGGTGACACCCAGCCTTCCCTGGCCTGGGGTGCTGGAAGAACTGGACATGGATGTAGCCAGACAGCAGCTCCAGGAACAGAGGATAAGCAGGAGCCACTGCTGTCCCCACCTGGGTATGAATGAGCAGTGTACCCCCGGGCAGCACCCCACAGGCTCCAGATGAGTGGGGACACCAGGCTGTCACCCCGGGGTGCTGCAGGGACAGTGGGCAGGGGGCTGGAAGCACGACCTGGGAGCCACCGGGGCAGGGAAGCTGGCAGTGGGGTGGCAGGGATGCTCAGCAGGGCACGGCCATGGCAGTCACTGCCTGCAGAGAGATTCGTTCGACTGCTTCGTGGTGTCCCCGAAAACACTCCATGGGCCCCGGCTGGCAGCACGTGAGGATGGAGGAGGAGCAGCACAGACGGCTGAATACTGGGACTTGGTTTTGGGCACCCAGCACCCTCCGGCACTGAGCCCACGGCAGCAGCACAGAAGGGACAATCTGGAACCGCAGCAGGCAGAGAAACACGAGGCAGCTCGAGGGGCTCTGCTTCCCTAAACGCAGCTGCTGCTGCTGCTGCTCTCCGGGTGTTTTGGAGCTGGGGTGAGAGTGAAGGAGACGCTGGAAGAGGCAGCCATGCGGTGCGGGGATGGAGGCTGGAGCCTTCCTGCCCGGGAGCAGCCGGGGCTTGGGAGGATTTCAGGCGAGCGGGCCGGGGCCGGCAGCGCAGGGCGGCAGCACGGGATTACCCTCGGCTCCCGCACGGCGCAGCTGCCGCCCCGACACAATCCCTTAAAACTGCATTAACCACTGCATTAACCCAGCCCGGGTGGTCGGGGAGCGGCTCCGGCGAGAGCCAGGCCCCGGGAAGGATCCCAGTGCAAGGCCTGGGGTAGGGATTCCCGACCCGCCGCCGGGGCCGAGCCAGGGCGAAGCTCCCGGACGCGTTCCAGGTTATTAATGACTGAATTAATTTAAGCCGAGCATCCGCGGGCGCTGGCAGCGCCGTGCCCCGAGGGAAGGCTGGGATGAAGGCTCGCACTCTCCCCAGCCCTCCCCTGCTGCTGCATCCCCGCTCGCGTGGGCTGCCCACGGGCACGCCTGTGCAGCCACGGGCACACACAGCGAGCCCCGGGTCCCCGATTCCCCCCCTGGGTTTTCCTTTTCCTTCCTCCCCTGCTTGCACACACGGACACGCGTGTGTGTATTGTGAGATCCAGGCACAGGAATACGCACAGGGAGAGACGGGGACGCTCCCACGCGTACGCACACACGTGTGTGATGTGTGACACGGATGTACCCTGGCGCACACACACGTGTGTGTAATAACACGGATGCGCACACTCACACTCTTACACACCCAGCAGCGCCGCCCCATCCCGTCTGTTGCCGTCTGTTACCACCCGGCGCTGCCACGGCTCAAGATGTGCTGGCTCCGGGCGAGCAGCCGGCTGCCGACACCACCTGCCCGTCGTGCCCCGGGGCCGTGCGGGCACAGCCCGTGCTGGGGCCCCGCCGCCTGCCCGCGGTGGAGCCGGGTGAGGCCGGCCCGGGCCCGCCGGGCTTGGCGGAGCGGCCGCGGTGCCCCAGCACGGAGAGCTCCTGGTGCTGTTGGAGCCCTGCAGCGCCGGGCCCAGCACCGCCGGCACCGAGACCGCCCGGGAGCTCCGAGTATGGGGCGGCCGCAGGGCTGGGTGTCTTCGCTGCCCGGGGTGGGGTGGCCGAGGGGCACAGATCGGGCTCGGCCACAGGTTGGGATCGACTCCACGCACGGGCAGGGTCCCCTCTGGGTACAGGTTAGTGTCCTGTCCGGACACACGTCTGGGATCTGCTGTGGGCGTGAGCTGCTCTGGGTATGGGTCTGGGTCCCCTCCACGCATGGGTGGGTCTCTGAGCACGGTCTGGGCTTCTCTCAGGGCACTGCTCTGGTTCCCCTCCACACACAGGTTAGGGTGTGTCCCCTAGGATTTGGGCCACGGATCTGGGGCCTCACCCAGCTGCTACCCTGTCTGGAGTTTGGGGTCCCCATCTGTGGGCTGGGGTCCTGTATCCCACCCTGCTGGAGCTGCTGGTTCTCCCATCGCCTGGCCCAGCCCACCCAAGAGCCCAGGTCCCTCTCACTGCTCACCCCTCTGTGTCCCCATATGGTCCCTTGTGCCCCAGATGTCCCCAGCCAGGGTTTCTGCCCCGCAATGTGGGCTGGGGTCTCAGCTCACTGCAATGCAGGAGATAACTCAGAGCATGAGGAGTTTTTTAACACTCCAGCAAATTTATGGAGCATGTCTGAGTAACTGCTACTGTCACTGCAAACCTCTTCCCAGAAATCCCACTTCCAATGTCGAAAGTTGTTTTTTCTTATTAAATAAAAATTTAAAAAAAACAAACCCAAACCGCAAACTCCAGGGATTCTACATGAAGTTATTCCAGAAATGTTTCTGGCCATAAGAGCTGTGGATGGGGCTCTCCCCAGCCTGACTATAGTGAGTTTGGAGAGGTGTGTGCTGTCTCTGAGCTCAAAACCCACCCCCAGGCACTCAGGGGGCACCCCTAGTGACTCCCCACACTGGGATTGTCCCCACAGGAGTTGTTTGGTGACATCATCTCCCTCCTGTGAATGTCACTCCAAAATTACCAGAAATGCTTTTTTTTAATCCCTGCCCTAAGAGACGCTCCAGAGCAACCTGCTTTTTCTACAAAAACAGAAGGAAAATTTGAAGCTCAAAAAAGACCCAAAAAGTGATGATCTGCTGGTGTGTGATCCTCTCCATGCCCCCCACTGCTCACCCACCTGGCTCCCCAGGAATGTCCCATCTTTCCCTCTCCCCATATATACTTACCTCCTAATCCATGACAACGTTCTTTTCTCTCTCCCTCTCTATCCATCTCATATGGCCTCCTTGGGCTCATCAACATGCAGACTCTCTCCCTTCTTTCCACTAGTGCTGTACAAAACCTCTGCTCCCCTTGTGTGTGATCCTTGTCCCCTCTCTGCAGCAGCTGTGTCCCTGTGGAGGCAGCTGGAAGCTGGGTGGGCTCAGGGCCTCCGTGTGGTGCCTTGCAGGTGACGGTGATGTCGGAGTTGCAGCGGGTGCCCGAGACCTTTGAGGAGCTGCAGCAGTTCCTGAAGGAGCAGGAGGAGATCCTGCTGGCCCAGCTCAAGCAGGTGTCCCAGGAGCTTGACAAGAAGAGGTACAAATACAACTCCAAGGTTTGGGAGAGGGAGTCGCTGCTGGACACGGTGATTGTGTGGATCGAGGAGAAGCAGGACCAGCTGGTGGTCGAGTTCCTCATGGTGGGGCTGCATCCCCCACTGGGTGCTGTGACCCCTGGGGGGCTGGGACACCCACCTGGCACCCTCTGCAGCCCGAGGGCCACGCTGTGACACCGTGCTGTACCCACTGTGGGTCGGGGCCCTGAGGGAAGGGAGGATTGGGGTGAGGTGTGGGGTGACCCCCAGCCCCCTTAACCTCCACTGTAGCTCCCTGCCCCTCAGCAGTGCCAGAGCTCACCTGTGTTTTCTCTCTTGCAGGATGTTGGCAAAATCCTGAGCAGGTTTGAAACAGGCTTGGTGTCCCTCTCCTCCTGCACAGCTCCTTTGGGCAGAGGTGTGGGAGCGCTGCAGGAGCCAGGAGGGAGGCGGTTTGCCCTGCTGAGTATTTGGGATTTCATGTGATGTTCCCAGGAACCAGAGGCCACTGCACCCCTCCTAAAGATGGGGTTCCTGTGCTGATAGCTGGGCCACAGCTGCTCTGGGTTCTGTGGCTGCAGAGATTTCCGTTTCCTTCCTGGGGCTGGCTGGTGGCTGGGCTCAGAGCTCCTCTCCCTTTTGTTCCCCTCAGCTGTGAGGCAGCCCCAGTCCCAGAGCTGGTTTCCCTGGAGCTGCAGAGGAGCGTTGAGAGTGTCTCTGAGATGAGCCAGCTGGTTGTGGACATGGTGGTCAAATTCAAAGGTAAAACTCTGCTGGCTCTGTGTTGTGCTTCCCCTGGGCTTGGCTGGCAGCAGGAAATCCTCACTGCTTGGTGCCTCTGCCTGGGGCTCGGGAGTAAAATGCCTGCTCCAGATGGGAACCATCCCCGAGATGGGCTTTGCTGGAGCCTGGGGCTCCACATCTGGCTTGCTGTCCTGATGGGGAGCAGGAAAGGTGCCACAGGAGAGACACTCAGGCATCTTCCTTTCCTTCCAGTGAACCTGCAGAGCGAGATAGACAAGGAAAGGGTAAGTTTCTGGAGCTGATGAGCACGAGTGAGGGGGAAAGCCTTTCCAGGATGAGTTTCCTCATATTCTTGGTGCAGAGATTGGCTCACACCACATGTAAACCCAGCATCTGTCTAGAACTGAGTCCTATTGTTTTCACTAGGCCTGCTATAAAAATCCAGGTCTGTCCTTGTGCCAGGCAGCACCAGGGACGCTGTCCTGCGACACCAGGCAAGGGCCAGGACAGCAGAAGGCTGTGTCAGGCTGCGCCCAGTTAAGCAGAGGGGCTGTACATGTTTTTAGCTGGCATTTAGGCCTGATCAGAAGTATTTTTGCAGGTGCATCCATGATGCAGCATCGCTAGGCTGAGGTCTGGCCGGCACCATTTGTGCTGAGGCTGCCTTCCATTCTCAGTTTTTGGGATGATGCATCTGAGCACAAGACAGTCGTGCCTCAGTTTCCCTCCCGCAGTCCCCGGAGGAGTGGGTTTAGCAGAGGGTCTGGGATGGTGACACTGCACAGTGACACCTGTGTGGCCTTGTGGGATGGCCACGGGATGGCAGCAGAACATCCCTGACGGATGGGCAGCTCCGGCTCTGCAGTGAGCTTGCCTGCTTGCTCGGCAGAGCAGCGTCCCGAGCTGGGTGAGCACTTGTCACAGGAGCAGGGACTGGCCTGGCCCTCTCCTGCCCTGCAGCAGTGCCTCCTCACACCCACGGGATACACTGCTCCCACAGGCAGCAATAGCCAGCAGATCTGGGAGCAGATTTAGCAAAGCCCATCGTGTCTGTCCCCTGATGTGGGGACACTGCCTGGTTCAGTCCTGCCTCAGGGAGCATCTCTTCACCAACGTGGGGACAGTAAGGGTCCTGCATCCCTTGCCCCCCCGTGCTCCCAGGACACATCCCAGTCCCATGGTGCAGGGTGGAGAGGTGCTGGTTCTCAGCAGGCACAGACTGATGTTTCTGTCATCAATTAGAGAAGGTGACACTGGACCCAGAGATGGCAGGCCCTCACCTGAGCCTCTCGCAGGACCACAAAACCATCCGGTTCAGAGATGGAGAACAAAACCTCCCTGACATCTCCAAGAGCTTCATGGGCAGCCCCAGAGTCCTGGGCTCTCAGGGGTTCATGTCTGGTAGGTGGAGGTTGGGAAACAGAACGGCTGGGCCCTGGGGGTGGTCCTGGAGTCAGTGCTGAGAAAGGAGTCGTACATCATGCCCAGATCAGAGAAGATCTGGGCCCTGAAACTGGACTGGGACGGCCAGTACAAAATAAGACAGCATGCTCCCTGACCTGCACAGGGAAGAGCTCCAGAGAATCAGGATCCACCTGGATTACAAAGCGGGCCGAGTGACCTTCTGCAACACAGAGAACATGACGTGGATCTTGGAGTTTGAGGCCACCTTCACTGAGAAAGTCTTCCCGTATTTTTGTCTCTATTCAGCAGAAACCCAGATCTGGCTGTGTGACTGATGGGGTCAGATGGCTGCTGGGCCCCTGCAGGGGAGCTGAGCAGGGAGGAGGTGTGGGAATGACATGGCATCACACTGCACACTCGCTGCAGCTCTGCCTGGGCTGGATCCCCCCTCCAGTTTCCTGCGTCTCCTCCTGCTATGTCCTTTAGAGCATTAAAGAAGTGCTGTCCTGCCTGGGGGTGTCTGTGTGTAGGTATCCTGTCTAGATCCCACGGTGATGGTGTCCTACCTCTCCCTGTGGGCACTGAGGCCATAGAATAACCAGGAGGGAGTGGGGAAGAGGCTCTGGTTTTCCACGGCAGCCTTTGGCAGCAGTGCATGGCTTGTTGCAGCCGTGCTAGTGCTGGTGCTGGAGGATGCAGCCACCCAGCACACAGCCACGCTGGAGCAACGAGCTGATAACAGTGGTGATAAATGCTCAATTGTAAAAAGGAAAATGTTCAGGGAGGGAGTGTGGGAGTGAGGGCATACCTGGAAGAGCAGCTGGAGCCGGGGGTGTGACGGGGATCGCTGAGATCCGGGATGCTCAGGGAAGGAACAAACACCTCGGTTCTAATCCAGGAACCGGGAGCATTGTGTGACTAGAGGGTGGCAGGGCCCAGGCAGAGGGACACGGGTTGTGGGTCGTGTCCTGGAGATCCTCTGGATCCAAACTGATCAGCTGGAGACAGCAGCCTCCAGGACCACCGGAGAGACATGACAGAGCATCTGCCAGGGACTGGACATCAGATCTCTGCCAGCCCTGAGCTGAAGAGAAGCTGCGTGTCCTAAAGAGTTTATGTGCAGTACAAGTCGGGGACTGCCAAGTCTCCTTTCTCCTGCTCGTCGCTCCGTGAACCCCATCCTGGTGTCGCAGGGACGTGCACTTCCTTATTTCCCCATCCGCTCACCAAACACCCCATAAAGTGGCATAAAAGAAATTATGTGGACAGGGCTCTTTATCACAGAGAGGCCGTGTTACCTGCTGAGTATTTTTCCTTCATCTTCCCCATTTTCCCCTCACGCCCAGGCTAAAGGGAGCCCGGAAACATGGCGGCAAAGCGGCGCAGCTGTGAGGCGGGAACTACATTCCCCAGCACGCAACGCAGAGAGCGATAACGCGGCGGGTCCGCTAGGAATGCTGGGAAATGTAGTCCCCCCCGCGCTGGCGCGCATTCCCTCCACCCCGGCTTTCTCGCATTCCTATTGGTCCAGAGCGACGTCAAGCAACCGCCGTGGGCGGGGCCTGGCCGCGGCCCCGCCGTTCCTACTGGCCGGGGCGCGCGCGGTGGGAGGGGAGGTTTGAAAAAAAACAACCCGCCCCCCGCGGGACACCGCGCGCTGATTGGCTGAGCCGCGGTTTGGCGCCAGCTTCGGAGCGGGCGACGGGTACCGGTTGGGGTCAAAACGCTGCGGCGGCCGCGCTGACGGCAGGAGACGGGACGGCTGTGCTGAGTTCCTATTCCTACTCCAATGGATCCCACCCCGAGCGCTTCCCACCGCCGTCGCCTTCTGCTTCTCTCGCCGACGTCCCCCGCCTCGCCCGCGGTGGTTAAGGCGCTCTTTCAGGATGAGCTCTCGCCTGTCTCCGATCTCCGCCTGACCATGGAGCAGCTGGGGCGCGGGTGAGTTGGGGCGCGGGGCCCTGCGAGCGCTGGGCCCGGGCACCCCACTTTTTCTTGCCTCTGTCGTGACACCTCCTCCCCCCCCAAAAAAAAGCGAGGTTTGGAGGGTTTATCCCCCGCTTCTAACTCCCTTACCACGGGAGCCCCCTTCCTCCTCTCCCCCACCCCTCCGAGCCCTCCCGGGCACTTTGTCCCTCTCCTGGGCGTTTTGCCCCTCTCCAGGACGTTTTCTTCCCCCTGCCGGACCCGAAGCGAGGCCTAGGGACGCTCCCCCATATATAAAAAACACCAAGGCCTCCAGGAGTCATTTTCTTTTGGTTCCATCCACCCCCGTAATTCCCTCCCGCGCAGTGAAGCCTTATGGAATTCCCGCCCCCTCTCCCAAATAAAAAAGCCCCCCAAGTTCCAGGGATGTCTTTTAACACCCCCTTCTTCCCCAGGCCCTCCGGAATGTCTTTACTCCCTCCTCGGCGCTGCAAGGTTTCAGGAGCTCATTTCCTTCCCTGTCGCCGCTCCTTGCACAAGGGAGGCCTCGGGGTGCTCATCTGCCCTCACCCCCAAAAACAGTGAGGCCTCGTGGATCCCACCTTTTCCTTTCCTCCCACCCGCCAATGGAGGCTTTGGGGGTCTCTTCATCCCCTTTTCTCCCCAGGAATGGGGCACTGAGGCTCATCCTTTCTCTCTCCCCACACCTCCAGCCGAGGCCTGCAGCCCCTCTTCTCCCAGCCCTTCCCCCAAAAACGAGGCCTCCCGGAGCTCTTTATTCTCCCCACACCCAGCCGTGAGGCCTCGGTTTTATCCCTCCCACCTTGCAAACTTCCCGGACTCCCTTAGGGTTCCCCCCCCCTACCCCTTTGCTGATGCCTCCCCTCTGTTCTCTCCCCCATCCCACATGGATCCATGTTCTGGGACGCTTTCCCCTTGTCCCGGTTGTGCTCTGTGCATCCACCTCCCTCCTGAGCCCTTCCCTGCGATTCCTTTTCTCCTACAAACACCTTTGTATCCCTTCCATGTCCTTCCTTCCTTCCCTGTTCCTGCACCCTCCTCCTCTCTGTCTCCCGAGTGCCAGGTGCTGCAGGCTCTGGGCTCTCCTGTTCCCAGCTGCTCCATTTTCCTGCTCTCTTAACTCCTCTAATCCCATTATTCCCACAGTTTCTCCCTTTTGTGGCTCCTGTTTTGTCCTGGCCCACTCAAGTCTCAATGACCCTCCTGGGTTTTGTTTGTTGATTTTTCTGTCATTCTCGTTTTTGCAACCACCTGCTTTATGGTTCTTCCCTCCTTCAGATTCCTGGGATTCCTGCAAACCATTGGCAGTGCCCCCCTGGAAATTACTCAACCCTTTGATTTTGTAACCCTGGCTACATTTTTTTGTTTTGTTTTTTAAATTAACCACGTTGATGAGCCTCACTCAAGGAGCTTTTCCTTTATATATGTGGTGCTCCATATGATTTTCTTTTCTCTCAGCACTGAGGTTTAGCAGATAAAACAAACTTTTGGAAGTAAGTATTTATCAAAATGGGTTTGAATTAAAAGTTTGGCAATTTTCTCTATGCAAATCTTGAATTAAAGGAGTGGCTGCCAAACAGAGGGTTGCAGTTCCAGAAAGGATAACTGGGCTCTGATAGAAATCCAGGTGATGCCCACCTGTGCTGTACCTACCTGCAGTGTTGTATTTCTTCCTTTTAAAGTAAATCCCAAATTTCCTTTCCAGGCAGCATGAAAACCTGGACCAAGACGTGGGAACCAAAAATGGATTACACAGATTGGCGTCTTCAGAGTCCACAGACTCAGGTAGGGATTCCCTAATTAATAAATAATGCTTAGGAGTTGGAAATGCACTTTTGGCATGGTCAAAAGTTTGGAGAGAGAACCATCCCTGCTTGCAGCCCCCTCTCATTCCCGTGCTCTTGGAAGGAAGGAGGGAGGTGGAAAATCCCTCAGGAAGCCTCTGCAGCTCATGGTTTGGGCTGTTCATGGGTTTTTCTTTCATTTTTTTGCTTTAATTGTCCTGGAGACTGTGAGCAGCAGGGAGGGAAAGCAAGTCCTCACTGTGTTTTCTCTCTTTAAACCCAACCTGTGCCAGTGAGTGGCTCTGTCCTGTGTTTTCCTCTTACCAAGGGCTGGTTGATGATATGAAACCCCTCAGTTCTGGGAGGATTTTCTTGTTTTCACACAACATGTTTTATCAGTGAAGATGAAATAAGCTCTCACCCCATAACTTGTAGATTCCCTCTGGATTTATGCCCCATTTGGAGGGCACTTTCAGCCTAAAAAAAGAACTTTATGAAGTGCTAAAGCACGAGTACAGCTCACAAACCGCAGAGCAGGACAGAGCAACCAGCCTTGCTAAATCCTCACTTTCTGTGGCTCCTCAGGAATCCCTGTTGGAGTGACTTTGGATTTTGTGCTTCTGAAGTGCTTCCTGTTAATTCCAGGACATTCAGAAGGGCCTTTTGGCTGCCTATTTTTTTGGAAAGAGCCCAAAATTTATTTGTAAGAAGAGGTGTAACTAAAACCATGGCTTTTTTTTTTTTTTTTTAAAAAAAAACCCTCAAGGAATAAGTTGTTTATTAAAGTGTGTGTGGTGGATAAACAAAGTATTCCATGCTGAGTACCAACATGTGACAGCCCAGGCAGGGCTTGGAGGGCTTTTTTTAATTATTCCTGAATTCCCCAAGCACTGACACTTGATCCACAGCCAAACCCCACGGTGGGGAGTGGCTCCAACTCTTATTTATTCTGCACCGAGGTGAGGCTGCAGATGGGCCTTTGCACATGAATTTCCTGTGTCTGTCTGTGGGAATCTGTAGCAGTGTGGGATAATCCCTGGATATGAATCAATGGGAAATCTCCTCTGCAGGTTTGGCTTTGGATTCTCCCAGCCCCACGACCTCGCACGACACCATGGAGGACATGTGAGTACCCCTGTGTTAAACCTTCCTCGTTAACAAACCTGGGCTAATGAGGCCTGCTGAGGGTTTTCCTCTGCTGGCACATTCCCTGCTGTGCCTCTCCATGTGCTCCACAGCTGGAATGCCAGGACTGGCCCTGCCCCTGCCCAGGGCTGGCTCTGAGCAGAGCCTTGTGCCAGCCACATGGCACTGGCACCTCCCTGCTGGCTGGGGCTGCACCAGGGTCTAGCTAACTTGCATTTTTTAATATTTGATTTAAGTCTGTGCCTTAAGAACCACAGAATCCTTGAATTTGGGAAAGATCTTTAAAACCTTCAACTCTGACCTTTGATCTTTGGATTTTAGGTTTGAGAAAGCGATCAAATCCAGCAGGCTGAAGTAAGTACAATTCTATTTTAAATTCTTCCTTGGTGTCTCTTTTAGATTATGGAATTGGGGGGTCATTTCTATTAATTTCTATTCATGTCACTGCCTTTTAAAGC